CATTTCAGACACACAACCAGAACTTTTTTCCAGAGACCTTCATCTGGCTGCAACATTTCTTACAATATTTCTTTAAAGTTCTCTTTAGGAGAAAACTGTGGCTACCAATGAATCCTACTCCATAAAATCCCATAAATTCCTTCGAGAAAGGTTTGGAATCTGTAATGCGGTTTGTCATGACCCATTACATGCATTTTAAAAAACAGTTATGCTTGTTGTGCTAGCTTAGCTCAATATAGCTCCATGCTTACAATATACAACCGGGGGAGGAGGGTTAATTCAAATTATGTTGCTCCTTGGCTTCTAATGTAACAAGCACAAGCCCATTATACCAGTCTACTCAAGCTCTTTACCTTATTAGTGAACTGCCTATTGCAGAGTTACAGACAGAACTTCATACTTTCCAAATAAGCTCTTTGCAGTGCTACAGCAGGCTCCATACCAGATGACCTTTCCCTAGGCAATGCTACTTCTCACACCCATCTAAGGCTACTGAATCCACTTATTCTTGCACTCTAACATGTGCAACACCATTGTGATTCGCAACCATCTGGAGATTATAAGCACTATAAGACAACTGACCCCATGGATGTGCTTCCACTCACCATCATGTTCATCAAATTTGTCGATGAGAGTACACATCCGATAGTCCCAGAGCTGGATCACTCCATTGTGCAGGCTTGTTAGGATCCAGGGCCGCTTGGGGTGAAAGCTAAGCCCTGCAAAAAATGCAGAAAAGGATGATTTTCAAACTTTTCTCAAGGAGTTCTTTTAATACATGAAGAAATACGTATATCTAAAAGGGATGCAGATCAATACACACCTCCAATACACACATCAATAAATACCCCTTTTTAGATATAAGCCTTTTACCCTACTACTAACAATGTTTACGGTGCCATCAGGTCTTCACTTGTTACAAGAGCTCAATAAAGCAGGCTTAATCCTCATATTTCACTTAGGGACTTCCAGTGCAATCCTGAAAATACTTTCCAAGTTCACAGCTAAGTCTCTTTTTGTGCAATCCTGCACAGAGTGACTGCAGTCGCCCACAGTAATCAGTGGTCTTAGGCCAGGCTAACTCCACAGAGGATTGAAGTGCCACACCAGTTTGCAAGCTACATAATCAGATACACAAGACACAGCATACAGCCAACCATAGATTTACCTGCCTATAACTTTCAAGAATGTGGTACTTATCCATTGAAACATAAAGCTATAAAAATGCAACCACTACAGAGAAAAAGCGAGCATACTGCTGTTTCCATGCTGACAGATCTCCCTTTATACACACACATGTTCTTTTTATATACCAGCAGATTAAAAAGTGTGCATCAAAACTCTGTGTATCCCTTCATTATACTTCTGAGATATACAGCTTTCTATATAACTAGCAACATATTTAGTAGATACGCATGCAAAAAGAACATACTCACTGACACGTAAGAGGGACGTTATACACCTGCGCTTGGGTATTTTTTCCTTTCACAGGTCTTTTTAATATTTCAACTGACAGCTACCACATACTCTTTTTCTTTTCTTTAATCTAACCCCTGCATAGATTTTTATGGGGACCCCCATCCTGATCTGACGGTGTCTCTACCCATGACCAAGAAAGAAGGGGGGATTCCTCATCCCGTTCAGGGCCTTTTTGGTACCTTTCACGCGAGCCGACTTGGTCTCGAACTTGGTGAGCATCGTCGCCCAACACCTCTCAGCGCCTCCTTAGGCCCGGCAGCCCCCAACACTGAAGCAGCCACCTCCACGTCACCGCCGCTAAGGCTGCGGCTCCTCCAACACAGCACTTCCTCTTCCGCCAAGAAATCACAGAGGAGAACAGAGAGCGTATTTGTCTCACGACAGAGAACAGCGGAGATAGGGGTTTTTCTCTCCCACAGCGGCCTCTAGTGGAGGAGAGGAGTTAGACGCTCCCACAGCCGCTGAAGACAAAGGCCGAACGGGAAGAGAACCACCCCCCTGCAACCACAAATATCAGAGGCTAGAGCGCCCCATTCCCTCCTTCCATAACCGTAGAGTGGCGGCCGGAGCGTCACCCTGATACTTTGTGAGGGTATCGACGAGGGAAAGGAAGCGGAAGCTGCCGGCAAGATGGCGGCTATCGAGGAGGAAGAAATGGGGAGTAGCTGCAGCTGGAGAATAAGGGGAGTCACCGAGTTGTTGCTTCGAGGGCTTCTCCTCTGCGCCTTGGCGGCGGGTGAGGAAAAGTCTCCCACAACCTGGTCAGGACCCACCCACAAAGATTTGTGGGAGGGGAGAAAGTGGGTGGGGTCTTGAGTGGGGGGGAAGGTGAAGGGCTGCCCTTTAAACGGAGCGAAAACTTTCTGAAGGTGCGCCAGGGTCCTGGCCTGAGAAAGAGCAGGAGACTGGGTTCTCTTGGACTTTGGAGAATGTTGGGTAAAAGAGGAGAAAGGGGGTGGAGCCTTGTCCATGGAATTTAAAAAGTTCAGCCGCATAACAGGTTGAAATACATCAAGTGTCCCCCCCCCCCTTACTGGTTTAGGGTGGCTGGATTTGTGTTGTGTGTTGGCCCTCTAATGAAGCTTGATTGGTATTCTCTTTTGCTTTGTTCTGACCAGAAGGGGGCAACAGGAGAAGAGGGAAAGTCAGAGGGATGAAGGTGTTTAGAGTGCTGGCCTAGGGCAAATTCCCATTTGGCCTAGAAGGGTGACCCTCGGGCTCTTCATACTTTTTCGCAACCTAATTTATTTCTTAGGCTGGTTGTAAGGATAAAAGGGTGGCTGGGAGAGCCTTGGCCTCTTTGGAGGAAGGGTGAGATAAAAATGCTGTAGAGAGATAGCACGTGGTTCTCTGCTAGATATTAAGCAAAATACTAGGTAGGGGTTCAACTGCTGCTTGTATTGTCAGTGGTCATTGTTTGTGATGATTGTATTTGTATTCCATTGTGCCTTTAAAGAAATCATAGGGTGGTGACTTAGGTTATTTTTCCCCCCTGAGGGATCAGTACACAGAAAATTTAGTATATAGACAGATTGGTATTCAATTAGTAAATGTTATCAGTTACTATGATGGGTATATTAATTACATTTTAATATTCCCCTTCCCCTAGATCTAGGTATTTGTCTTTTTTATGGGAAGAGAGTATAAAAATGAGGAAAGGGAGAGGAGGGTCACTCGGGTTTGGCAGGATAATGGGTATAATTTCATTACATATGTGTTATTAGCAGCTATGTGGTTGTATTAAACATTATATTTGTAGTCTGATTGCTTTCTGAAAAGGTCAGACTGATCATATCTGGATTTTCACCCGCTGTTCTGTTTTCACAACAATCCTTCTGAGGTAGGTTAGGCAGCAAGGTAGTAACTGGCCCAAGGTCAAACAGTGAGCTTTCATGGCTGGGTAAGGAGATAGACCAGAGGTGTCATCCTTTGTTATGAGGGCCGGATCTGACATAAATGTCACTTCGTCGGGTGTGCCATAAAATGTAATGCCAGGTAGTGGAGATATAAACTATATAAAGGGCAACAGCTGGTAAGCTCCAAGTTGTTGTATCTTCGCTGTAAGGCCTCATGGGATATGGATGGACTGGAGTGCCAGCAGTGCAGCACTGGGCAGATGCTCCTGTGGTGCTTGACTGTTGCAGACGAGGTTGTTCTGCCATGCTGAAGCCACAACTGAAGTGGTCCCCCCCCAGCAGTCTCCTGTTCCTTCCCTTGTACTACTTGCTTGCAGGCTGCATAAAAACCCTGGATGGGCCGGTTTCGGCCCCCGGGCCTTATGTTTGACACCCCTGATTTAGACTGTGGTCTCCACATTCCTATTTCAGCATTCTGTCTGTGCTGCTCCAGCTTTTAGTATAGAAATACACGTGGTAATAGCATAGGGTTGCCAAGTCTATCTTCACCAGGAGCGGGGGGCTCCCGGCCGGTGTCTTGTGTGCACACGCAAAGCATGCACGTGCCACACGCACGTCACCCGGAAGTGACGGGAGGACGCCAGGCATGCTGGGCGCGAGGCCAAGGTCATACAAGGGAAAACCATAGCGTTTTCCCTTGTATGGCCGTGGCCCCGCCTCCGGCATGCCCGCATCACTTCCGGGTGACGCACACATCGGGGTGGAGTTCCCCCCGGGGCCCAATCCGGCAGCGCTGGGGAACGGGCCTCTGGGGCGGGGGTTTCCCCGCCTCCCGGGGGGACTTGGGATCCCTATAATAGGAGAACAAATCAGTTGTTTGAATTTTTGCCTGTGTCACACACCTGTTGAAAGTACAAAAGCGTAGCCTGAAATCTGGGTGGCAAACCTACCACAAGCAACATTGATTGGGGAACTGTGGGTGAAACGTTGGCTAAGGAAGTGGGTACGGAAGCAAGCTTGATCCCTGGGGTGGCAGGGACTCTCCCTTCTCCATATGAATTTGCCAAAAACTCTACCCTCATGACTTTGAGGAAACATCGCAGATGGAGAAATTTGGCAAAACCTCAACTCTGTGGCAGACTGAAACTCAGCCAGCACTTTTTATGACTGCTAAAGGCTCCTAGATAGGAAGGAATGTAATTGTAATGAATGAGCAAGCAGTGGGTGGATGTAGCAGTCTTATGTTTGGGGGAATCCTAATCGTATGCTTTCCAGGAGAGTAGCTTTACTGTCACATGAGGCTTTTGTCACATGAGCTTAGCTGAAGATAAAGTGTTAGAATAGGAAAGCTCTTTCCTTGTATGTTCGTGGAGGAGCCATGCTGAGCAAGATGGTGAAAGGGGGATTGCGAAACACCACTTCCTGACTTTGATCTTGTTGCACTGACCACATGCTCTGCTTCATTACTGAAATTAACCAGGCAGTCCCATGGATGCAAAGCGGCTTTCAGAACTGTCACCTGTTTTTTTGGTTAAGGTTGTAGGTTAGAGGGTAGGTCCTAAGGCTGAGTGTGATGTTTTTGGTTAGCTGTGCATAGACTGCCACCATTAACACCAGTCAGGGCCATTCTGGCCTATCTCATTGCTCCTTGGGCGGAAGTGACCTCTGCTGAAATCTTTCTCTTCCTCTGCAGGCTCAGGGTGGTGCAACTCAGTGGAGAGGAAAATCTACATCCCGCTGAACAGGACAGCTACATGTGTCCGCTTAATGAATGCCACACATCAGATAGGCTGCCAGTGTGAGTATATCTTAGCGGAGGGCCTGAGTAGTTGCTTAGGAAGTCTTCTTTATTTACAGTATTTTTTAAAATTTTCAACTTTTCAGTGTGAGATTTACAAGGTGGATATGGCGAATGAAAAACCGCCAAATTACATCACAAAAACCTGTAAAAATGCTGTTATTCAGCCACAATTGTCTTTATTGTTATGAAAGTAAAAGAAACAGCAAAGGCAAGAGTGAAATATATCCTCTGTTAAAGCTTTGGTGGAATAAAATTATCATGGGCAGTGGGGTGTAGTGGTTATGAGTGACAGTCTCTAATCTAGAGAACCAGGTTCAATTCCCCACCCCTCCTCCATGTGGAGTCTGCTGGGTGACCTTGGGCCAGTCACAGTTCTATCAGAACTCTCTCAGCCCCGTCTACCTCACAGGTTGACTGTTGTGGGGAGAGGCAGGGAAGGAGACTGTAAACTGCTTTGAGACTCCTTAGGGTAGAGAAAAGTGAGGTATAAAAACCAACTCTTCTTGAACTGGTTTCCAAAAAGCCTAACAAAAGAAATGCCATTCAAGTTTCCCTTGGGTCTCTGGTATAGATCTCAAGATGTTTGTATGGGAGCCAGCAGTCCTATAGATCTTTACTGGTCAAAACCAGGACCCTGTATTGTGTTCTAACTGAACCAGGTGAAGCTTCTGAGTACTCTTGATGGGCCGTGCACTGCAGACCTCAAGCTTGAGTGTTACTAAAGCACAGACTGCTATGACAAGGCTTCCTCTCTCCAGGAGAGGCAGCAAGTGGCTTGAGCTGGAGAAAGATCATTTATTTTATTTATTCAAAAACGTTTTGATCCCTTTTCTCCACCCCCTTAAGGCTCGCTATGCTGCAGAAGGTTCTCAGGCTTGCAGGATCTCACTGCACCATTGGCAGGGAGCACATTCTTTAGCAGGGAGCACATTCTTGTCGAGGGCAGGTAGGCAAGAAGGGGCTGGAGCCTTTCCAGCCTCCCCCCCCATCTTTCTCAAGGGCCCCTGGGCCCCAGGAGAAGCCTTTTGTGGAGATCAGTGGGGAGGGGGAGGCTGGAAAGTTCCGTTCTGCCGATAGAAAATGTAGCCTGGATTCAGCCCAAGAGAACACGCATCTTAGACTGCTGGTGTTCGTTCAGTAGCGATGGTGCAAGCCAGGTGGAAGCTGACACTGCAGGAGCTGCCGCGAAGCAGTGGGAAAGGGACCGACCCATAGGTGCTGTCTAGAGGGAAACAGTTGCATATTGATATAAAACATATCTTGCCTTTCCCTTGTGGCTCAAGGCACTTAATAACCCTAAAATAAGATCAGAAATGGAGCTGCGGTGGCTCAAGTGGTTAAGACGCTGAACTGCAGGCTGTGGAAGGTCAGTAGTTCAGCAGTTCGAGACCCAGGTGCCGCATGATGGAGTGAGCTCCCGTCTCTAGTTCCAGCTCCTGCCAACCTAGCAGTTCGAAAGCAAGAAATTGCAACAGACGACTTTGACTCACTAGCCCTCTACATGTGACCATTCTGTGTATTGTCAACACACATACAGGGGAAGTAAGGTAAAGGTAAAGGTTCCCTTGCTCGAAAGCCAGTCGAATCCGACTGTAGGGTTGCGGTGCTCATCTCCGTTTCAAAGCCGAAGAGCCAGCGCTGTCCAAAGACGTTTCCGTGGCCATGTGGCCGGCATGACTAAACACCAAGGTGCACGGAACGCTGTTACCTTCCCACCGAAGTGGTACCTATTTATCTACTTGCAATTTCTTACTTTCGAACTGCTAGGTTGGCAGGAGCTGGAACTAGAGAGGGGAGCTCACTCCATCATGCGGCACCCGGGTCTCGAACTGCTGAACTACCGACCTTCCACAGCCTGCAGTTCAGCGTCTTAACCACTTGAGCCACCGCAGCTCCACAGGGGGAGTAGATACAAGCATATGGGCTCTAACCAATCCACATGATTGTCAGCTCATGAATATGGCACCTATAAATGAAAGATGTATATGAACATATCCCTGTGATCACGAACATTCATAACGCAGTGTCCCCAGTTACAGTGAGGTAGCATTGGCAAGTACTCTTAACTCTCTACACCATTCTCATGAACCAGCAATCATATAGATGATGGGCCAAAGTCCTTGTACCCATTCTTGCTGATTGAACAAGCAGAAAGGTCATGTTTTAAGGACAGCTTCATGTGTTAAAGAAGAAGAAGAAGAAAAAGAAGAAGAAGAGATTAGATTTATACCCCGCCCTTCACTTGGAGTCTCAGAGCGGCTTACAAACTCCTTTCCCTTCCCCTCCCCACAACAGACACCCTGTGAAGTGGGTGGGGCTGAGAGAGCTCTGACACAAACTGCTCTTTTTCAAGGACAGCTGTGCCAGAGCTTGTGACTGACCCAAGGTCACATCAGCAGGTGCACGTGGAGGAGTGGGGAATCAAACCCGGTTCTCCCAGATTAGAGTCCGCGCACTTAACCACTACACCAAACTGGCTCTAATTAGGTCTAATCAGATGGCATTTGAGCATTATGAATCCTTCTCCGGGGGGATGGGGGAGGCCAGAATTGATGGTAGACTGTAGCCGTCCTCAACCAAATGCCTGGCAGAACATCTCTGTTTTACAGGCCCTGCAGAACTGCGTTAGGTCCCACAGGGCATGGATGTCATTAGGCCAAGAATTCCACCAGGCCGGCGTCAGGGCTGAGGACAGCCGGATATCTGGTTGAGGACAGCCGGATATCCTTTGGGCCAGCAAACTCCAGGATGTTCTTATCTCCAGAGCATAGTGCTCTTTGGGGGGGGGGGGTCACTGGGGGACAGTCCTGTAGATATGCTGGTCCCAGATCATTTAGGGCTTTGAAGGTCAATATCAAAACCTTGAACCTGATCTGGTACTCGCTGATGAAGCACTGGTTGGATATGTTCCTTCAATGGGGTCCCGATGAGGACCCGTGCCACTGCACGGGTAAAAGTCTTCTGGTGGCTCCTAAAAACTTCCCCGGACAGTGCTCTGCTTGCCTCCTAAGGAAGCCTATTTGCCATGAGGAGGGAAGCATACCTGGAAAGGACTGGAGCTCTAGTGTAGTGTTTCCCAATCTGTGGGTCCCAAAAGTGGGTTGCAAAACCTCAGAAAGTGGGCTGCAGCCAGCCTTCTCTAATAAGCACCTCTGCCTTTTCGATTGCTCTCTTTTGTATTTTGGAAACCAAGATGTTCACCCAAAGAGTGATTAACACATGGAATTCACTGCCACAGGAGGTGGTGGCGGCTACAAGCATGGACACCTTCAAGAGGGAACTGGATAAGCATATGGAGCCGAGGTCCATCAGTGGCTATTAGCCACCAGGTATAGATAGGAACTCTTGGGCTGGGCTTCTAGTGTCCTGGCCCCAGTGCTGGACCTCCTGATGGCACCTGGTATCTTTGGCCACTGTGTGACAGAGTGTTGGACTGGATGGGCGATTGGCCTGATCCAACATTGGCTTCTCTTATGTTCTTATGAAACAGTATTTTCCATATTGTTCATTAGTTGGTATTTTTTTTCTTCACTGCATGTGCATGTTGATCAAGTAAAACGTGTCCTGATGGTTACTAGAGTGAGTTTCTTAGGGGGGGGGGGGAACAGAGGGAAGAACGGAGAAAGAAAAGGTGGTCAAAACCTGAAATGTAACATCTGTATGCAAAAACCGTGTATGACAGAATACCACTAGCCAGGAGTTCATAGCTAGTGAGAGAGAGAGCCAGTTTGGTGTAGTGGTTAAGTGCGCGGACTCTAATCTGGGAGAACCGGGTTTGATTCCCCACTCCTCCACTTGCACCTGCTGATGTGACCTTGGGTCAGTCACAAGCTCTGGCACAGCTGTCCTTGAAAAAGAGCAGTTTGTGTCAGAGTTCTCTCAGCCCCACCCACCTCACAGGGTGTCTGTTGTGGGGAGGGGAAGGGAAAGGAGTTTGTAAGCCGCTCTGAGACTCCAAGTGAAGGGCGGGGTATAAATCTAATCTCTTCTTCTTCTTTTTCTTCTTCTTCTTCTTCTTCATAGTGGGGCTAGCTCCATCCTTTGTGAGAGTTCATTGGTTTCTCAAAAACATCTGATTAGCCACTGTAGAAGATGGAATGCTGAAGGTCACAGTTTCCCTGGGGCACCAAAATAGCTTGGGCCAGCCCGGGATGGGTCACCGTACCAAATATATTCGAACTGATGGGTCACCATAGTGAAAAGTTTAGTAACCTCTAGTGGATGTTGAAAAGGCAACCGGGGGGGGGGGGGGAGGACCCCAGAGGAGGATGCAGCTGATACAGGGCATACAGCTGACACAGAGTGATGGTCCTTCAGATCTGTGGGTCTTAATGTATTAAGCAACATCTCTCTTCTTTTTGTGGTTGCAGCCTCCATGAACGGAGACACTGGAGTCATCCATGTGGTGGAGAAGCAGGAGGATGTGCAGTGGGTACTGTCCGATGGCCCTCATCCCCCGTACATAGTGCTGCTAGACGGAGAACTTTTTACCAGGTAACAAATGGTCTGCTCCAAGTAGATCAGTTAGGGGAGGGGCCAGGGGCCAGCTTCTTCAGGACCAGGTAGTAGGAGACATGAAAGACCTCTGCCTGAGTACCAGGAGAGCGGCTGCTAGTCTGAGTAGACAGTGTTAACTTTGATGGAGGCTCTGATTCAGCATAAGGCAGCTTTAGGGGGTTGTATGGCCATGGCTTGGGTAGATTGCCTGCTTTGAGGCACAAAGTTGGTGATTTGATCCTTGGCACCTCCAGCTGAAAAGTTCTCCGGCAACAGCTGTTGGTTAGGACTGACCTTCCTGAGCTGTGGCTGAAGAGCTGCTGCCAGTCAGAGCAAGTGATACGGAGCTGGACAGACCAGTGCTCTAAGGCAGCTCCGTATGTTCACGAACCCCGCATCTGGCAGCTCCTCGCGCAGCTCATGGAGCTGTGGTGGCTCAAGTGGTTAAGACGCTGAACTGCAGGCTGTGGAAGGTCAGTAGTTCAGCAGTTCGAGACCCGAGTGTGCCGCATGACGGAGTGAGCTCCCGTCTCTAGTTCCAGCTCCTGCCAACCTAGCAGTTCGAAAGCAAGAAAGTGCAAGTAGATAAATAGGTACCACTTCAGTGGGAAGGTAACAGTGTTCCATGCGCCTTGGTGTTTAGTCACGCCGGCCACATGACCACGGAAACTTCTTCGGACAGCGCTGGCTCTTCGGCTTTGAAACGGAGATGAGCACTGCAACCCTAGAGTCGGATTCGACTGGCTTTCGAGCAAGGGAATCTTTACCTTTACCTTCACACGCAGCTTTGCAAGCAGGGGGACCCAGGTTCATTCGCTGGCATCTCTAATTAGACATGGGAGGTGATGTGAAAGACCTCTGCCTAAGGCCGTGGAGAGCTGCTGCCAGTCAGAGTAGGCGATACAGACCTGGATGTGCCAGTGGCTTCATCTCCTTTTAACTGGAGATGATGGAATTGAACCAAGGACCTTCTGCATGTAAAATGGATGCTCTTCCACTGAGCCCCGGTCCCTTGCCAGTTTTAAAGAGCTCTAGTGGCTGCCCATTTAATTTGTGGGACAAATCAACGTGCCAGTTGTTGCCTTATGTACATAAGTGCCGTCAAGTTGCAACCGACTTATGGTGGTCCCAGCGAGGGGATTTCAAGGCTAGTGAGAAGCAGCGGTGGCTCCCCATCGCCTTCCTTTGCAGAGTCTTCCTTGGTGGTTTCCCATTCAATTGGTGACCTTGGTTAGCCTCCAAGATCTGTTGAGATTGGGCTATATCATACCAATGTGCATCCTGCTTATTTTGTTTTTCATTTGGTACATCCTGGAGAGCCAGTTTGGTGTAGTGGTTAAGTGCGCGGACTCTAATCTGGGAGGACCTGGTTTGATTCCCCACTCCTCCACTTGCACCTGGCTAGATGACCTTGGGCAAGCCATAGCTCTGATAAGAGCTGTTCTTGAAAAAGAGCAGTTTCTGTCAGAGCTCTCTCAGCCTCACCTACCTCCCAGGGTGTCTGTTGTGGGGAGGGGAAGGGAAAGGAGTTTGTAAGCTGCTCTGAGACACCTTTGGGTAGTGAAGGGCGGGGTATAAACCCAATCTCTTCTTCTTCTCTTCTTCGTTGGTGCTGGCTATTGTCTGAGATCCTGCCCTCTGCAAAGGCTCTGCTTTATATATTGCTGTCTTTATTTTTATATTTTTTGTATTTTTGCGTGTGTGTGTGCCCATGCCTGGAAGTCATGGCGATCTCTGGTGACTCTTACTGTGGCACTAAGGACATTTAGAGAAGTGGCTTGATAGCTTGCCTCTGGCCTCCCGGCCCTGGTATTCTCTGGAGATCTCCCATCCAAACACTTGGCAGGGTCGGCCCCGCTTAGCTTCTGAGATCTGTCGAGGTCGGGCCTGGGCTGTCCAGGTCAAGGCATATATTGCTGTCTTTAGGAGTGATATAAAGGTGCTACCAGGGATAGGGACTCTTCAGTGGTGGTTGCATGACTTGGAATCCCCCGCTACACACACATCTTAGGTAGCATGGAATCCCCCTACGCACACCCCTTAGCTCTATAGTTTTAGTCTCCAGGCACAGACCTCTTTGTTGATTTGGTGTGTATATCAGCTCTGTTGATTGATTTTTCTGTTTTGTTTATTGTAGTAGTTAAAGCATCTTTTTCAGTGTTAGCTTCCATACATTGTTTGATGTGTTGTTTGGTTTTATGTTGGTAATAAGTTTTAGGGGATACTGCCGATTGTTTTTATTGGAGGCTGCCTCAGAAGTCAGTTGGCTAAGAGTTGCAGGGTAACAAAATCTTTTAAATAAATGAAGGGTTGGATCTGCAGTTCTTTTAGTCTTCCCTGGCACAAAAGGCTCAGCTGGGGGAAGGCGCTGATGGTAACGGAATAGATGCTTTGATCCAGCCGCTCGTCTATTGGATAGTAGTGTTGAGCTACGATCAAGAAGTGGTTAGTTATGAACTGTGATTAGATCCATTTGCTTATCTTTAAAATGCTGTTTCCAACAATGACTGAGAAATGGTTATGTATCTCTTACCACCAGTAACTAGAGGGCCAGTCTCCCCCCACCCCCTACGGGGGGAAAAGTAAGCAAACTTTCTGTGATCGTTGGAAGTTAAAGAATTTGGGATTTAGTATGTGTAGTTAAAATCATTGTTGGTGCGGGGAAGGAAGAGAAGCAGAAAGCCCATCTGTGTTTGTGTTTTGAAACGATAAAGCAGAAAACGGCATCTACTGTTGAAATCGCTCTAATGAAGTGTTTGGTTGCTTTTGTCTGCGTGATTCTATGACTTTCTTTTTAGAAATAATAAGACAGTAGCGGCATTGTGGGCCCCTTGGGCTATCGTCTGAGTGCCTGGCAGAGTTGACCTTGTACTGCCAGATGTGGCTTCAGAGAGACAGCCCAAGGCTGGAATAAATATTTCCGCCTTGCGTTACAAAAATGTTCTGTCTCCAGTCTTCTCACTGCCCCTTCTGTGGCTTAGTAGCTCTTCCCCCTTCATTAGTTTCTCTCATGCTTGGTTACTTATTTGTTCCTTATTACATCATTCTTAAACAGTAATCCTGCACACAGGCGCCAGCGTAGAAGGTGCCCAAAAGCTGTAAGCTGTATGTGAAATATCTTGAATGAACCTGCCCACACAGTAGAGTCACCTTCTCTGCATTCCCCTACCCTCAGCTGTGTGGTACGTGGCTGTGCGGGACAGGGCCTTTTTAGTGGGGGCACCAGGGATACGGCATTCCCTTTGTACAGAGGCTGCTTGGCCGCTGCCTCTTCTTTCAGGAACATGCCAAAACATTTTTATCTCAGAGGGTTTGGGGGGCTGTTTGGTGGGTGGGGTTGAGTTTTGATCCCTTTTTTTTTGAGCTTGTGACAGTTTTCCTTTAATGTTTGCCAAGGTCTGTGCCACAGCAGGTCAGCCTTTGCAGTGTACAGGTGTGAGTGCGTGTACACAACCACACCCATGACCTCTCACACTAGGATGCCAGCCTGGGAATCCCCAGAATTCTTGGGATCCCCAGGAATTACAGCTGATCTCCAGACTACAGAGATGAATTTCCCTGGAGAAAATGGATGCTTTGGAGGGTGGACTCTGTGGCATAGCACCCCACCGAGGTCCCTGCCCTCCGCAGGCTCCAACCCCAGAAGACGGGGGGGGGGATCATCTTCCCTTTCTGTTTGCTTTTATTTTCTTTCTTTCTTTCTTTCTTAGCCCCCGGAGGGGATTTTTAATTGATTTTTTAACACTACAAAAAACTACAACAGAAAAGGGGGAGGGGAAAACTACATATAAGGGAGAAAGTAAAGAACCCACCACTGACTAAAAACCCAAGAGAGGAGATCCTCTAACTAGCTTGCTTTTTTTTTAATTTAAACATCCAAACTTATCATCTTTGTATGAACTGTGTCAATCTTTTAGAACTTTTAACCCTCCCCATTTACATTCAATTGCCCAATAACAGTGCCCCCCATCATCCCCTGGAAACAAAGTTCTCAAAGTTTTATTTTCCTCGTCCTCGTCTATGAAGCACAATTGAGCTCCTTATTTAAATCTCTGGAGCCCAGCCGCACAAGTACTTCACTCCTCGCTCAGTTATTTTGTCCTGATGGTACAGAACGTGGTCAAGCTGCACATCGGCCAGAGCCGTGTATGCTGTTTTGGTCGAATGCTTGTCTGCAGGAGCCCAGCTGCACAAGTACTTCGCTCCTCGCTCAGTTATTTTTGTCCTGATGGTACAAAACGTGGTCAAGCTGCCCATCGGCTGGAGCCGCGTATGCTGTTTTGGTCGAATGCTTGTCTGCTTCCTGTAATGCCTTTCTAGTGTTTTGGTATTTTTTTTGTTGTTGGTGCCACTTGTCGTAAGGCAGCTCGTGGACCTGAAGAGGCAGCGGTGGGGAGGGAACATTTTAAATGAAAAAAAGGTCTAAGGGAAAGTGTGGTCATTCTTGATTCTTCTTTCCATACAGGGGCATGATGGATCAGCTCAAAGAAAGCCCACGGATCTCCGGCGTGGCTGTGGCCATTGCCAAACCCAGGCCGGTAAAAGGATTCTCTCCAGGCTCCAGATGCCCAAACGATGGCTTCGGTAAGGGAACAACGTGACTTAAACTGTGGACCACAGAACCAAAAAGCCGGGGTACTCCCTGTGAGCCATTGGGCTGCCTGTTTCAAATCCAGATGTGAATTCTATTTTGAAAGACGTGTAGAATGTGCCATTGACACACTCTTAGATCTCCCTTGTGGTATTTAGCATTTCTACACTGCACAACCCTGGGACGTCTGTATCAGGAATGCTGATACTGTGGCTGGCAGGCTGAAAGTAGGACAGGGAGAGCGGCTTGCCATACAGCTTATGGCAAGACTGAGAATTGAACCGGGGATCATGTTTCAGCCTCTAAGCTGCCACGGCACTTTAGCCTTTTCCCCTTGGTAGCTCCAATTCTGTTTATTTTACGAAGCTTATACCCTGTCTTTCTATCCTCATAAGGGCCCCAAAAGGGGGCTAACCAGTTCAGACATAAATAATAAAATCACATTTTAAAAACCATTAGATCCAGTTAGATCCAGTCATCATGAAAACATCCAGGGCTAAAATACACATAAAGGATTGAAAATAGGGCAGGAAGGAGGCATCACTGAGCAAACTCCAGACAAAACAAAATAGTCTTGGGTGGCTCGTGCAAGGTGGCAAGAGAAGGGGACAGGCGAGTCTCTCTGGGGAGGGAGTTCCAGGCTTTCAGTGTCGTGACGAAGAAGGCCTGTGTTGCCACCCACCCGCCTAATCTCAGAAGGCAGGGGCAACCCAAAGTAGGGGCTCAAATGACCAGATATGCTTGTAAGAGAGTAGGCGGTCCTTCAGAAATGTAGTCCCAAGCCATGTAGGGCTTTAAATGTCAACACTGGCAGCTTAAATTGGGCCTGGAAACATGGGGAGCCTGTGTAGATGGGCCAAGACTGAGTGGTATGTTCCTTACGACTCATTCCGGCCAACGTCCGGGCTACAGCGTTCTGCACCAGTTGAGGTTTCCAAACAGTTCTCCAGGGCAAGTCCTATGCAGAGTGCCGTGCTTGTTCTGTCTTTTACAAAGTGATTTGTATATCACCAACCAGGGCACTTCGCAAAGTGCGGGACCCTATGTAAGGGATGCAAAGGAGGAAGAACGGGCCATCGGGGAGGAGGTTCAGCCAGGGAATGATACCTGTAGGTTCCTAAAGGCTTTGTGGCTGAAGGAGGAATGTAAAAGAAGAATGAGAGAAAGCATTGCATGTGCTCTGGGAGACAATCCCAGGCCTAATGGGGTGGCTAGGGAGAAAAGAGTCAGAATGTGAAGGTATAAGAGAGATCTGAATGGCTGGGGGAGTAAGGTCACGCGCAGGGGATGCACTGGGATATGAGAGCAGAATGGTGATGGGAGCAGAGAGGGAGCAAGGAGGCCATGTAGGGCCTTGGAGGAATTTGTTGCAGGTCTGGGAAAGGGCAGGAAGCCCCCCTCCCCCCCCCTTCTAGATCATGCCCAAACTTCCTCCCTCCCTCCACATCTGCCTTCCCCTTTTTCAGCCTCTTCTTCTTTTGTCTCAACCAATGGCAGGAGGAGAACTTTCTGCCTCCCTCCTCATCTTACACTACAGTCGCTTCCCTGCCCCCCAGTTCTCAACCACCTTAGGGTGCAGCTGGACCTTTGTCGATCAACTTGCAGTGGGGGGTGGTCTTTTCCAAGTATTCTCCATCCTTCAAGTGACCCTCACTCGCCTTGTTCCTCTTCCCTCCCCGTTCTTCAGGTGTCTACAACAGCACCTATGGCCCCCAGTACGCTCATTGCAATAACATGGAGTGGAACCCCCTGGGCAACGGCCTTTTCTATGAGGACTTCAGTTTCCCCATCTTCCTCCTTCAAGATGAGAACGAGACTGAGGTTATTAAGCAGGTACGGCTGATGGCTTGTTTGGTCTGGATCCCCACTCCTTTGAGAAGGGCACTAGATAGATAGCCAGTGTATTCAGTGTGTCTGGCCAAGTATAATGCTTGCGTATAAACCCCCTCGCCTTTGTTTGCTGAGTACTCCCAACATTTTCACAGGTAAATATATGTATATTTTTTTAAGCACCAGAGCCTAAAGGGTTCCTACTCCTAACCTAGAAGGATCAGTGGTCTAGATTGGTAGCGTTTACTCTGATAAATGACAGACCCCTGGCCAATAACATAATGTCTTCTAAGGTGGTGCAGGAGTCCTTATTTTTCTGCAACAGACTAACTTGTGTATTTCTTTGGACTGGGGAAAGCTGGCCTGATTCCCATTTCTTTTCCTTCTTTTCCCTCTCTCTCGGTTCCCACCCCACAGTGCTACCAAACCTACAACTTCCCTCACAATGGCTCTGTCCCGCAGTACCCGCTGTGTGCCATGCAGCTCTTCTCCCACATGCACGCCGTGACCAGCACAGTCACTTGCATGCGGCGCACCTCCCTCCAGAGCACCTTCAGCATCAATCCGGGTGAGATGGCGGGTCGGGAGTTGTTTTTTTTTAATCACCGGTCGTAAATCCCTTGGCTGAATTTTGGTTGGAGACTGCATCTCTGTTAAATGGCTAGCCCTTTCTAATGAAAAGAGAGAGGCGAAAGGAAGCGCTTCTTCACATCATGGGTAGTTAATTAACGAAATTCTCTGCTGCAGATGTGGTGGTGCTTTGTAGAGCAACTGTGGGGGATGATAGGCCCGTGGATAAGTTATGGTGGCCAAGTGGAGATCTCTTGTGTATGAAGGAAGCGTCTCCTGGGTTGCTAGATGCTGCAGGCAAGCGATGTGGGAAGGACTCCTGGCTTGGAGAGCCAGTTTGGTGTAGTGGTTAAGTGCGCGGACTCTAATCTGGGAGAACCGGGTTTGATTCCCCACTCCTCCACTTGCAGCTGCTGGATGACCTTAGGCAAGCCGTAGCTCTGATAAGAGCTGTCCTTGAAAAAGAGCAGTTTCTGTCAAGAGCTCTCTGAGCCCCACCTACCTCACAGGGTGTCTGTTGTGGGGAGGGGAAGAGAAAGGAGTTTGTAAGCCGCTCTGAGACTCCTTTGGGTAGTGGGCGAGGTATAAATCCAATCTCTTCTTCTTGGAGACTTGCTTGTGGGCTTCCAGGAAGCATCCACATGGTTGTGCCTGGAAGCGGAATTCTGAACTAGGTAGACCTTAGTTGGATCCAGCAGGACTCCTCCTCTTATATTAATGTATGAAACGTAAAGCCCCAAATTTGCTAGTGGTGGTCACGAAGCAGTGAACACACCTGAAGCTGCCTCAGACTGAATCAGACCCTTGGTCCATCAGTGTCAGAATTGTCTGCTCAGACTGGCAGCTGCTTTCCAGGGTCTCAGGCAGAGGTCTTTCACATCACCTTCTATGTGATTCTTTAAACTGGAGATGCTGGGAACTGAACCTGGGGCGTTCCACCTGCCAAGCAGATGCTCTGCCACTGAACCGCAGCCCTCCCTCACCTCATAAGGGTCAGTAGATCTGAGTTCAGTAGCACTTTAGAAACCAACAAGATTTTGGGTGTAGAGTCAAAGCTTTGTCAAAGGTAGTTTTGACTCTGGAAAGCCTATACCCCACTAATCTTGTTGGTTCATAAAGTGTTACGGGACTGAAATACTACTGCAGATGAGCGTGACTACCCTCTGAAACGCTTAAGGGTTGTATCCTGTGACTCTCTTCTGCTTACAGGGATTCTCCCCTTCTGCTAAGAGTCTCTTACACTAAAGAAATGTGCCACTGTTAGCAGAACTGTATTGTAGGATCCAGCCCTACCCTGTTTTGCAGTGACTAACTAGGTTGGATCCAGGGATCCATCAGTGGAAGGCACTGACGGTTGCGTATCTTTCCTGTTTTCCTCCTCTCCCCATGACCCCCGGAACACTGGTCGGGGCTTTTTGCCATCTTTTCCGTCCTCATCGCAGCTGGCCGACGGACTGACCCCAAGAATGAGCTTTCTCCGGGTCAGAAGAGACTCCTGGTGGGGTTGGGGAGAAGATCTGTAGTCCTTGCATAGAGCAGATTGCTGAATCCAGCCCGTTATTTCTAGCTAACAGTTTTAAGCCTGTACATTCAAGAGGTGGCACGATGGTACTTGGCTTTGACACTGGAGCTCCCTTTGTTCGTCTTCTGAACTAGGATCAGGGGTGCTATTTCTCGGGATTTCTGAACCACTTTTCTGCTGATGAGTAGGCACCAGTTCTTACTTTGAAATGTAAGTCTGATTCTTGTTTGATGGTTTGCTTCTTTGTGGAGATTTATATCCCGCCCTACTCTGCAAACGGGCTCAGAGCGGCTTACATCGTATCAAACAATTAGACAATTCCATAAAAACATAAAATCAATTACAATATTAATTCAAACAAAGTTAAAATTCAAATGACTAAATACCTAACTGGCAGCACAGCAGTTAGTTAATGAGTTCATGCCAAAGGTGGTGGATCATTCTGATGGAATAAGTCAACCTCTCCTGGCGCCAATATATGTAGAAAGCGCCATGGTGTAATCGAGGCAGGGGAGGTCAATGTTCTGATGTTCTTTGACATCCGCAGCCTCAACCAAAGGCCTGGCGGAATAGCTCTGTTTTGCAGGCACTGCAGAATTGCAGTAAATCCCGCAGGGCCCCCTGATCTCAGTTGGGAGCCTCGTTTCACCCACCCGGCTGTGGCCGGGGCTGAAAAGGCCCTGGCCCTGGTTGAGGCAAGTCAGACGTCTTTCAGGCTGGGGACTGCTAAATGGTGCCGGTCAGAAAAGTGCAAGGCTCTTTGGGGCACATGCGGGGAGAGGTGGTCTCACAGGTATGCTGGTCCCTAGTGTAGAATGATCGTATTCACTAGTGACGAGCAACACAGATCGAATTAGATGCCGGTGGAGTGATTGGTTAGGTGGGCGGCGATTTTCCCCAGGTGCAGGAAGTGGCAGGGTTGCCCTGCTGGTGCTCCTTGAAGCTTGCCCTGAGTGTTCTTTTTTTCCCCTGCCCCTAGAAGTCATCTGTGACCCGCTCTCTGATTACAACGTGTGGAGCACGCTGAAGCCCATCAACGTTTCCACGAATCTGAACTCCACTGAGAAAGTCATCATGGTTGCAACTCGAGTAGGTGACACATGTTAGCACTGCCCAGAGTCCCGTCTCTGTTAAATTCTCCTTGCGGGCCATCCTGAGCCTGCATGGCTCATTTGGAACAATCTCTTCCTTTCTGTGATTTGTTCCACCACTTTTAACCGTTTGGTAGGATTTCTTCTGGTTTTTCTGGCTGTGGGGCGGTAAGAAGCTGTTCAGGCTTGGCAGGAAGCCAAAGCGTCGCTGACTACTGGAAGCTGACTCCTGAGAAATCAGTTCAGATATCACTCTTGAGAAGGAAGCTCAGCTCTGGTTTGGTGTGATGTCTGGATCGAGAAACAACCTTCCATTTGCATTTGTCCAGCAAACTAGAAACCATGGCTTGAAACTTCAAGTGCAAACTGTTGTTCAGCCTGCTATCTGAGTCACCAAATTGTTGTTATGGCCATTGCTTTTGAGGAGATGTGTGTTTGTGCGGTGTGGGGGGGGACTTTAAACCACGGTTTGATAGTATGGAAACTCAAACCATGTTTTTCATTATAAACTTATGTTTGGCACAAATGACATTTGAGTTTGATTCAGTCATAAATAAGGCAGATTAATCACAGGTACAGTGTCTGATTCAACAAGCTGCAGTTGGCTGTGAACCTGAATTAGAAGTCCTGACTGGAAATGAATTTGCAAACACGAAGTTTGTGCTTACTATGGTTTCCTGTGAAGTCTTTGTTGACAAACCGTCGTCATGGCTGCTGCTCAGCCTCTAGACCCCTGTTGTGCCATGGGGATTGAGCAGATGGAAGACACAAAGAGGCAGGTAGCTAGAGGCAGGTAGCTCTAAACCCTCATTTGCCATGACTGGGTCCTAAACTGTGGTTAGCAGAAACCCTGGCTTGTCACAGTGCCCGAACTGAGGCTGAGAATTTCAGCAGGTTGTTACTTTCTGCTTTTCCTTTTCAGCCGAGGAGAATGTTTCCTCCTATCCCAGATCCAAGACCGTATCACACTCTGTTGGTCTCTGTAGGTGTTTGACCCTCCAGAGGCAATGTCGAACCCCGCAGCCAATCCTCAGCGATGGCCCATTAACTGGTGTCATTAGAACCATGCTGTGTGTGAGCTTTAACCTTTCAATCTGAAGGCCTGATTTTTAGTGTTGACACAGGAGAAGTAAAAGCATTTTCCTGTCACACTTTGCATTTGCAGAACATGGGCTGCTGTGTGACTTGCTTTGTGAGCGCAAAGTCATGCAGATGAGTTCCTCATGTCGAGATCAGGTTCCAAAGCAGAACAGGGCCAGGGCTCCCTGAGGAAAAGGAACAGACAGACCCTGCGGCCAGAGGGGATCGCCTCGCCTCGCCGTAGGAGAGTTGGAAGAGCTTGGGAGTGCTGCCTAGAGCTATGGTCTATACGCCCCAAGCTTTTTCACTGAAGAGCTCCATAGATTTGACAATTTAGACATCACACAAAGGTATAGATAAGGTTCCTTAGCTACCCTGTGACCGGATGAAGCCCCCTGAACAACTTACCGGGCTCTCTGTATTGATGTCGGACTCTCTCCTGGCAGATCGACAGCCATTCCATGTTCTGGAACGTGGCTCCTGGGGCAGAGAGTGCCGTTGCGTCTTTTGTAACCCACCTGGCTGCGGCTGAAGCCATCCACAAAGCACCGGACATTCAGACATTGCCAAAGAACATCATGTTCACCTTCTTCCAGGGGGTGAGTCCTTTTCTGTTCTCCTAATCTTCAACTGAGACTTCCTTGGTGGGTATTTTGGTATGAGACCATGCTTCGCTTTGGTTTTTGGAATGAGGAATCGCGTCAGCAGGCTTTTCTGTCAGGTCTGAGAGTCTGGAGGATACCTCCAACTGCCCTGGGCTGGAAAATGTGCTGTCGAGTCATGCAAGAAAATTTATTTCCCTTTGGGGGAACAAAGACAAGAGAGGCAGATGTGTTCAGCTCCCGCTCCTCCAGGGAAATGGCATTTTTATGTCCCTGGAGTTGAGCCGTTCCGTTCAGCATGTTTATTCAGTAGCTTGATGAGGACTTGATGCCAGACCTTGGCTTTGGCACTGTACGTACGAGTCTTGAAGGACTCGTGGGCTCGGTCACTCGGTCCCCCCTTCCCCTGCCCGCTAAATGAGTGATTTCTGAATTTTCAGCAGTTTTACATTTCAGTACTTAATGAGTTCATGCCAAAGGCGGTGGATCATTCTGATGGAATAAGTCAACCTCTCCTGGCGCCAATCGGTGTAGAAAGCGCCATGGTGTAATCGAGGCAGGGGAGGTCAATGTTCTGATGTTCTTTGACATCCAGGATAATGTGTTTGTGCTCGCCCTCCGAACTGGGATTCCGGACGGAGAACAAACCTGGAATCTTGGCTTGCAGGGAAATTGTAAAGCCATAATCCTGGGTATTAACTCATTAGCGTGTGGCACGTGAAGGGAGAGAGGACGAGGGACGAGCGTGGACAAGTGAACCCCAGGCTTATTTGCATAGGGCTGCATCAGCTTTAGTGCACTTTCTTGCTCTTTAAAGTGACGTGGGAATATTTTTGATTAAATTAAAAATGAATAAGTATGGATGCAGGAACGTTCCCTTCCAAACCCCCCCCACATCACATAACCCCAAGGATCTTGCAGGTGGTGGATGGCTTGGGCATCTTAGGGCCGCTTGCTCCAAAGGGCCAGATCGAGCAGACCTAGTGGGTGGCAGGGCTTCTGGAACCATTCGTGGTATCATCTGGGCTTGCGCTGCTTGGAAGCGGTGGGGGGGGACCCCCTGTGTTTCTGCATCTGGATCTGTAAACTTATTATTCAAGAAATAACAAACACAAGCGCACCCTTCCCCTGATGCTAGTGTTACGTTGGAACTTCCTTCCCCTTCCATTTCCAAGCTTTTATTCTTTAGGGTTCGGGGTGCTCAAATAACTAACCCCTCTAACACCACCAACACATTCCTTTAAAAAAAAAACCCCTGAAGAACTCAAAGCTGTGTACCTCCCAGGATAATGGGTGCTGAGCTATAGAGCAAACTTAGCACATGAGAAGAAACCCCTTGGATCTGAGTTGGGGTCCTCAGTTATGCTTTACGCCTTCTTATAGTACTGGACAGTCTAGCCTCCTTTTCTGTCAGTCAGTGAAGAGCTGAAGACAGCCCATTCTTGGCGTTTGTCTTCTGCCCTACTCAAGCAGCTGGTGTTAAGGTAAACTGCCTCTGAACTGGGAGGCTCCATTCTTTTTTATCATGATCCACAGCTGCTGCTGGATTTGTCCATTGTAAATTAATCTAGTCCTGTGTTTAGAACTGCCTTGCTGGGTTAGGCTAAGGTTCCCGTCTCGTCCAGCATCCTCTTTTCCAACAGTGGTTGATCTGATACTCTACTTGGAGTCCCGCATGCAGGGATGGAGGCAGCGGCCCTTCTCTTTTCCTTCTTTCTACCCCTCCCCAATTGCTTATCCTTCAGCAACTGGTATTGAGAGATTTGATGCCTCGAACATAAAGCATTGCACGATTAAAAATATATGTGCGCTCCGGAGCAAAATGCAGTTAATTTCAGGGAGCTGGCAGCTGTGTGAAGCCAAGAGGATATTTGTAAGGTTCCCGTCTCGTCCAGCATCCTCTCTTCCAACAGTGGTTGATCTGATGCTCTACTTGGAGTCCCACATGCAGGGATGGAGGCAGTGGCCCTTCTCTTTTCCTTCTTTCTCCCCCCCCCCTCCCCTTCCCCAATTGCTTATCCTTCAGCAACTGGTATTGAGAGATTTGATGCCTCGAACATAAAGCATTGCACGATTAAAAATATATGTGCGCTCCGGAGCAAAATGCAGTTAATTTCAGGGAGCTGGCAGCTGTGTGAAGCCAAGAGGATATTTGGAATGGGGGGGGGGCGGG